GTGTATTCCACAAAAACCATTAGTAAATCTAGTGTTTCGTATTTCGGATGATGTTACTGGAGAAGGAAGGGCCTCATGGTTGTTTCACTGTTTGGTGTAAATTAGTCAGGATCTTGTCGATTAGGTTACGCTCTTAAGTTTCTAAGCCCATGCGTACAAACTGTCAACATTGAACCCCGATCTCAGTGCCCTGTACATGCGCGGTCCTCGAGCTCACGCGGGCTACACGCATTGAGTTGCAGGAATTTGGAGCTCAGGAAAGACCCTCCCCTCACACGATAATTGATGACTTCACTAGCAGTTAGAGGTTGCATGTGAGGGCAAGTCCGAAATCCAAGCAGTGATCAAGGTGTTGGAAAACGACCCTCAGGAAAGCACACAACATAACTTTTTATTGGACTATTGTTCAATGTATTCTGGTTTTATTTAATCACTGACTATAGAAGGTGTGTAATCAGACGTCATACATGTTCAGCCAAAATTTTGTAGCTTTTGTAGCTTTACTTTTTCTAGTAACATAAGGAACAAATATTCTTATAAAAAATATTACAATTGTCAAAAATTGATGTAAGGGAAAGCAAAATGTGCGGTTGGTGAACATTTCAGCTAAACAACGTTCGCCTGGCCGAAACGTTGACCGCATCATTGTCTTTGTCTTACAACAACTTCACCTGTTTCTCTCATTTATTTGTTAAGCGTGTCTCTTCAATAAATAAACATAAGTATTGCTGGTTTATAAATTATATAACCTTCGAACCATTTGAAGTTTCTCATTTGTATATCAAATCTAGTTTTGTAGTTTAAATTACATGATAACCTTCAAATATTTTTATAACGATTTTAAAAACAACAAAGTCTGTTTCTGTAACTAAGGGGTTCACTTACTCCTTTGGGACAGCAGCAGTTAATCAAGAACGGTAAGAGGCCACGGTTGATAGTTTGACATAAATAATTAGAATTCAGAATGGATTAGCAAAACAAATACACATCTAATCTGCAACAACTTACCTCAGTATGACATTATTACTTCATGTAGTTGTTGTTCATTCATAAGGTTTGAACAGACTTGACCACATTTACTAACTGTCTCTCTCTCTCTCTCTCACACGCCCCCCAGTGGGACATCCGTATGTC